GCAGGAGGGGGGGGGGGGGGGGGGGGGTAGAGATGGCAGTACCTGGCCGAACAGCTGCACGTTTATATCATACTGGTACGTAAACAAACGCCCTCAGCGGCGTCCCTTGCCAGCAGATGTGTGTTTTTTGTCGATGTTCCGTGAGACCTGGCTGTTCTTCGTGGTTCGCCACCGGCAAGGGAGAGAAGGCGGGCTATCTTCGCGCTGAAAACAACCTTATAACCGTATTTACCGTGTTTCTAACCCTCGGCCGGCCACGGCCTGGCGGCCGAGAAGTGGGCGAGAACACCGCGGCTGCGCCGCGTTCTCAGAACGCGGAACAGAAAAAGGGAGTTCTTGCAGAGTAACAATTAGCTCTCGACCAACGCTCGACCAATCAGAGGACGTAGTAGCCCACCATAGGATAGGGACGAAGAGTACCGGTAACAGACTACATGGGGGACTGGAAAGAAACGGGAGCGAGTCCTCGCAAGGGGTTCCCCATGTCTTGGAAGGCTTCGACTCATCGTCCGTGGTCCCCGGGGTGCGTGTTTGTGCGTGTGTACAGAGTGTGTCATTTACCCCCTGCCCGTTGCTCTTCGCACCCCCTCGATGTTCGTGTCTGTCTATATAACGCGTGGAGCAGGTATGACATCCCACTGAGCAGCAAAACGCTGACGGCGACCCACAACAGCTTCTCCCACGACAGGAACATCTCCACGCACGCCAACTTTGAGGTAAAACCCCGCCCTGCCCCAGGAGCAAGCGTCCTCTGGGATCACCCTATGACAAAGAGTACCGACTGACGAGCGCATATGTGTCTTGAGGGCCATCGCCTTTTTGTTTTCTCACTACGTGTACCGAACGTAACGCTGGTAGTGATCGACCGCCTGGCGCACTAACACAAGTATTGATAATAAGAAGCCCCTCTGCATAGTCTGTGATGACATGTTACAGTGACCGGGGGCGCCTTTTGGGGGGGGGGGGGGAGGGGGGGGGGCGTACTCTTGTATTTTGCATGCCTTAGCGGTTAGACCATTGACCACGCACCCTCGAGAGGACGGAGCATTGTTCCCACAGGACCGATCACCGATGACTAATCGTTCCTTGCTACTTTGCCAAAGGTGGCTCAAAAATGTCTCCCCTAACCTATATATCCTATGGATATCATTCCATTGCCTTTGGGGGGGGGGGGGGGGGGGGATTGGTTGCATCCCACAAGCTCGGAATCAGCAGTGGTGTCCCTTTGTCACAATCTGCTGCTGTTATGCGCTCTTTGCCAATGACCCGCGATCGACCCTCCGCAAAAAAATAAATATATATATGTATATATGCAGGTGGTGACGGCCCAGGTGTACAGCATGACGGACCAGCTCTCTTGCCTCGGCGTGAGGGGACTCGAGATTGACCTCCACTACAGTAAGAAGTAAAAGAAGCAGAAGAAGCGTTACGAACGAAGGCGGGGGTACAGAGGGTATAGCTGGGTTATTGGCGGTGTCTCTGGGCGAAGCCGTAGACTGTGATGTTGTGTAGTTTGTGCGTCGGGTACATTGTAGGCGTGTCCTGTCCTCGTTTTTCGTTCTTTTTTTTTTTGGCGAGGGACGCCAGTGGTATAATGCAGAGCTTGGCAGAATGCGGAATAGAAAGCTCCTGGAAAGTTTCTGTACGCAATGTCTCTTTTACAACGAAAACCGAACATTTTCTACGATTTTTTGTAGTCGACGAGGTTGCCGAGGAAGGAGACGAGGAGTCGCCCATCCGGCTACGCCACGCCCGCGTGTTGCCCTCTCTTTACCTTTTTCAGCGAAAATCCCAACGTTTCATTTTTTTTCTTACTGTTGTTGTTCAGTCGACGAACTTGCCGTGGAGGGGGACGAGGAGTCGGCCATCCGGATGTGCCACGCCTCGGAGGACGTGGCCGAGCAGATGGTGGACCTCTGCGAGACATTCGGGTGGGACGTGTGCGAGGCCGCCGACATCTTCGACTACGACGAGGACACCGGGTGCCGCCCCGGGGCGCCGACGGCAAGGGCGGGTTTCGAGGTATGCATACGTGCTGGGTGCTGGGTGCTGGCTGGGGAACAAAGGGGGCTTGAGTGCATGCGATAAACGTATTTTTTGGGGGTTTCTGCTGTGACAAAAGCAGCGGTGAATCTCAATTCATGAACCGCCCTACCAACGTTCGGCAAGGCAAATGAAAGCGAGAGGGGGGCAGCGGTAGAGGTCCCTGCATGCACTCGCTGGGACAGATACTGATGGTTGTTGCATGTCTTGGTGTCGATCGTAGTGGTAGAGTGTAATATATTAGTGCCGTGTGGAGCCCTCAATAGAGCCGGTTGGGTAGTGCCTATTAGAGATTTTCAACAGCGCTGGCGGAAATTGCGTGCGAACACAGATATGGAGTTGTTCAAGTCCTCACACAGCAGCAGTGTGCCGAAATGCCCGATTTTTGTGCCGATGGAGTTCGACAGCACGGCAGCAGTGTTTTTGCGGGGCTACTGTTGTACCGAGGGATTCACACCGCGTCGTTGTTAGTTTATGGTTTTGCCGTCGTCGGGGCTACTGTAGCGGGCATCAGGCAGCACACTGGTTGGTATTCATGGCAGCGTATTTTGGCACAACCGCATCAACGGCAGCATCGAACGATCCATCCACATCCCTTGTGCTGATTGATCGACACGTGCTGCCTCGGACAAACCAGGAGGTGGCGTCTTGGCTCTTTCTCGAGGAGAACGCGAACGAAGTGCTGTTCCTGAAGCTGGACAGCTCTCTAAACGACGAGGTGTGATGATGAAACTTGCGCGGTGTTTGTTTTGTTTTCTTTTGTGATGCCCGATAGCAGCCTTGTGTTTTGTGCTATCCACACACCCCCGCACCAACCGCGAGGATGATGCCCAGCTTCTGCTTCATCCTTGTAAAGCGTACAGTAGCCTGCTGGGCCGGCGAAACCGGGCGTATCGCTTCTCTGTCCCGACGTTGTATGGATGCGAGGTCAGTGGTCTTACGACTGCGGCATGCGCTTACATGAGCACCCACACACCCGCGAACGGCTTTTTGTGCTAAACCCGACATGTCACCATTGTCTGCTGACCCGAAAGACTATGGAGGTTCCCTTTATACCCCCGTTCTTTCTCATCATGTCTCTCTCGTTCTCTCTTTCACTCTCTGATTACAAGTATCGCTCTCGCAATTTCTCTCTCTCATGATATCTCTGATGATCTCTGATGATCTCTCATGATCTCTCCCCTCTTTTTCTTCCTCTTGGTCTACGCCCAATTTGTGTTTGTACAGGATGAGACGGTCTCCACGATCGTGTCGGACGTGTTCGGCGAGGATGTGATTTTCTCGCCGACGGACTGGGAGGAGTTCAGGTACGCAACTCGCTTGCCGTTTATCATTACTGCGTTGCGTTGTCTTTGTTGTTGTTGCTGCTGCTGCTGCTGCTGCTGCGGTGCTTTGTTTTTGCTGCTGCTACGACTGGGTGCGGCTGTTGCAAATGGTTGTCACGGAGGGTGGCAATGCCGTTCGAAATATAACCGCAGTCGAAGGGGATGTGTTGAAGTCATTACATTACAGGTAGTGGGAGACAACCTTTTTTTGTTTCTATTGTTCTTGTGTATGTGCGTTTGTGCGGGTCGTCTTTTAACCTTTTTTTTTTTTGTTAGACGAGTGTTTCTAACGTTCACGCGTGTGGGTTTATTCTTCTTTTCTTTTTTTTTTATGCTACAACAACAGCGGCAGCGACGACTGGCCGTCTCCGGCGGAGCTAGTGGCCATGGGGACTCGTGTCATCATCGCCGGTTCGGAGTCGTCCACGCTGGTCTTCAGCACCGACTCCGACGCTGTAGAGGTGCGTGTGTGCAATGTATGTGTGTGTTTGAAGGGGGGGGGGGGGGGGGTACTCATAGTCGTGCATGCCGTAGTCGTTTGACCATTGACCTCGCATCCCTACAAAGCCGGGACGGAGCACGCCGGGTTCTCACCGGACCAGGCTCTCACATCACCAAGCGCGAAGCGCCGTGAGGTATTTGGCGAGTCGCATGAAGGGTGAGCTGCATCCTGCTAAGGGTGTTCGGCATCTTGTGCTTACTTCCTTGCGTACGGATGACAGCTACGTATGAATTAATTTATTTTCTGGTGCT